TTTAAAAATATTAATTAAAACCTGATTTTTGAAATGTTAAACTTGAAACCTTATTTATGAAATTGAAAATCTAAAAACAGGTGTAGGTGTAATTTCCTCTAATTTTAAACAGCCACAGGGGCCGGCTCGGCTTATTCTCCAAACTGGGGCTAGGCCAGAGCTTCAGGGCCGACTCAGGCGGCTCGAGCTGACGAACTAAATTGACAGCCCTAGTCAAACGTAGGACGAATAGGGAATCAAAAAGCAAATATTGTTTGCACATTTCAATTGAAGGTAAGGAGCAATTACACATCAATCGAATTCAAACTGCAAAAATAAAAACAAAAGCATACAGCTCTACAAGAGCCAATAATTTAACCCAGAGATATTCGGATCTACTCACTTTTGGCTTTGGCAAGCGCCTTTTTCCTCTGACCAAGCATGTACCCGTACATATGAGGACTCCCAGGAACATAAACGCCGAGAACCCCAAGTGCCAAGTAATAGTAATCAAAGGAAAAATTCCATTTGTTAGGCATGCTTATGCTGTATTTCAATGATTCCTTCATGTAAGGCAATGCATTGTATATCAAACCCACTTCACTTGAAATTCCCGTGGGGTACATTATAAGAAACGTGCTGTACCTCAGCCAAAGCAGCCATGATGGAGCAGAACCAAAAGCTTCCTTCAAACCGAAAAACGAATATCGAATAATTTCAGTAATTGACCAACTAATCACCAATGAACTAACGAGAAAATGAGTCCGTATTTCAGGAAAACTCCACAAAATCCCCCACGCTACGTACAATCTGGAGCTAATTTGGGGCAGTGTAGCACTGACCGGAGATCTGACCAATCCAATTAGGCCGTGTAATATCTCCAATACGGCGGCGGATTGCGCCCAGAGCAGCGGCCTCTCGACGGCAGCGTACACGTGTTCGTGGCCGGATTCCTTCAGCGTCTTTACAGANNNNCGGATTCCTTCAGCGTCTTTACAGAAAGGTAAAATACTTGTAACCAGCCTACGAATACGGTCCAATTGTAGATTGTGAGGCATATTCGCCGGAAAATTGAGAAAAATCCAGCCATTGCAAGTGAATTCCGGCCACTAGAACTGGGTAGAATACACAGAGAGAGAGAGAGAGAGAGGGTGTGTGTTGATTAAATAAAGATAATGACTCAACGTTGAATTGTGTTAGGTGGGCCGATTAACTATTTTGGGACCCTGGGAATTAATTATGGGCTTTGGATCAACCATATAAAATTGGCTCGCTAGTAGTTCAACTAACAACAACTTTTTTAGATGAATTTTGTAAATTTATTAAAATGTTTAATTAAAAAAGAAAATAAAAGAAATTTAATTGAGTTGACTACGTAATTCTCTTTTAGTACAAATACTATAATTTGCCTCAACCCACATTTTTACGTCTTAGATATGATATAGCTCGAAGCAAAAAATAACGATAACGAAATACACACTTGTTGACCATAAAAATATTTATAACAAAGAGAAATGATATTCATCCCCAGTGGGGATGCATCCTCAATCTATGTGGCGTTAATGTGACATTAAATGATAGGTGAAATTAAATAAGTCATTTGATTTCACCTATCATTTAACCAATTATTTACATCCACATGAATTGGGGATGCATCTCCACTGGAAATGAATATCATTTTTCTATAACAAAACCTAGTTACTAACAATCATAATTGCACACTTCATTGCTAGACTCGTAATAAATAATAAACTAAGTCATTTTAGATTAAAAAAAATAATAATAATTAACAAATATATATTAAAATTCAAAAATCGACTCGAAAAGTCAAGCTTGTACCTTTAAGTCTTTTACTAATATCACATTGCTAAACTCTAAACTCGAAAAGTCAAACTAGGAAGCTTGTACCTTCGGGTGTGTTTGAATCTAATTTTGAGGAGAATAGAAATTTTGGAATAGTGATTGATGTGAGAATGTGTGGTGGAAAAGTGATGAAAAATTTTTGATTTGTGTGTAATATTATTTTATTTAAAGAATGTGTGNTAGGGTGTGTTTGAATCTAATTTTGAGGAGAATAGAAATTTTGGAATAGTGATTGATGTGAGAATGTGTGGTGGAAAAGTGATGAAAATTTTTTGATTTGTGTGTAATATTATTTTATTTAAAGAATGTGTGGTTGAAATGAAAAATGGGAATGAGAATGAGAAATTAATGGGTGCCAAACGGAGGTGAAATCATTTTCTCCATCAACCATACTTGATTAAACAAAGCAAGAGTGACTCAATCTTCGTAGGCACCATTTGATGAAGACTTTTCGAACCAAGCATTGGTTTCAGCTAGTCTGCTCAAATGTCTTCAGAATGCCCGGGTGGTCCTCTCTACCAAATGCTGACAAGTGATCATCACTCATGGAGGGAAGATCAGGTGACGTGTGCATATTACTCTACCTGAAACGTGCATTTATAGAATTCCCTGATTGTGAGTGGCTGTCCTTTCGTCTAACATACACTAAAAAATGCTGACTTTCTGTTACTATGTTCACACACTCGGGCTAACATTGGCCAATTGATTATTGGAAACTAGGGCAGATCTATCAATCAATGAAGAGATGGCTGTTTTTCCTTCGTTAAACTCATATTTTTTATTGTCAAATCAATATGGCACTATATATGACGATGATCCAACAAGGTACTCCTGGGAAGGCTTTGATACTGCAAGATAATGACAATAATAAAATAATAAAGCAGAATATAAGAATACAAGAATTTACGTGGAAATCCAATTTGGGGAAAAACCACGGATAGAGAAAAACAATCCACTATAATTAATAATTTTGTATTTACAATATCAAGGTTCCAATAATTTCAATTGAAATCTAAGCTTTCAATCTCTCAATATGTTGTTGAATGCGTAAAGAATATAATGAGAATGTTACAATATGGAAATACAATGTGGAAATATATATAAACCCTCTTATTAGATTCCAAGATGGAGAAGAAGTCCTAAAATCCAGATAAAACGGAAAAATCGTGAACATCAGTTACTGGTAGCGCCATGCAATGCTTGGGCGCTAGGTGTAGCACCCAGGCTCTACATCACAGAGCCTGGGCGCTTCGCCTAGCGCCAGGTCCTTGCCTCATTTTTCTTATTGCTTCAATTCTTGGTGCCTAGGAGCCGCGATGGTAGTGTATGGCACTAAGTCTTGAGTTAACATTCCAAAACATGCTTTTTGTCATCCAAGAGCCATTTTTCAAGTCAAACACCTAATTTATTATTGGAATTTGATCTCCACAACTTTGGACTCTACAAAGTCAAGTACATTAGACTTCATCCAATCAACCAAATCTCAAATCACATGAAATTTGGATCACATCACAACAAATCTTCACCTTAAGCCAAATTCTATTACAAGAAATTAAAACACATCTTCAAG